GTGCTGAATGCAATCTCTGTTTTTGACGAAGGCAGTGATCACTGTGAGAGCGCAGGAGACGATGCAGCCTCCAAACAAGAGGAGGAGGAGCAACAACAACCAGACAAGCGCCGCTTCGCCCAAGGAGAAGGCGCTAGTTGATGGCATGCTTAGCCTCAATTTGGCAGCCAAATCCACAGAGACAATTGCATGAGCACGGACAGTGGAGCTGCCAATCATTGTGGTTGGGGAATGCGAATCGCTAACGGGTCACAAGCCGCTCGACACACTGCTCAACAAATGACCCTTGAGGTGCAGTGTTTGCTGCCTTTTCTCCATGGCTCCTTTTCTGAGGACAAGAAGCCTGATAATCTAGGTGTCTTCACAGCCAGGCAGCTTGCTTATGGGTCAATGGGGGAGAAAAGCCGCTCCCTGTCTTGTATTGGCCCCAGGGCAAGAGGGCCTTTGAGCTAAGATGGAGAATGCGCTTGAGATTAGGGCAGCTCACTTTGAAATGCTACACATCATGTTCGGAAGGTCATCAGTTAGCTCGAAGAACCAATCAAGGTGATCAGAAGCTGGGCAAACGCCAGGAGTCAATCCATGTGGCAGCGTTTTCCAGCCCAGCTGCCGTTCATTCATTGTTGTGCTGATAGACGTGGCTTTTCAGCAGCAGAAAGCAGGTCAGATCGCGATTTCACCCACCAATAGTTCATTACGGCTAGTGCCGGGCTACTTGGACATTTACAATTAAGCCGCAAACCATATTGGAAAAAGCAGGTGCTGAACACATGTTGGGCTTTTGCAGCCAACAACCGTTCATTTCACGTTTGCCTTTTACGAACAAAACGGAACCCAGATGCAAGGCCTAAAACCATGAATTGCGTCATATGGCACATTTTTCTCGAAGCTGGAGTACCTAAACCCCAGGCCAGCAGGCTGGCATGATGCATCGCACCGGTACTGGTGACACTACTATCTCCCATGCGCCATTTCGTGTTTCTCCTCGCTAGGCCCTTGCGTGATTCATGTCTGGCGTTCGCCAGGCCAGTCAGGTTACGCCCAACGGCAAGGCGGATTCTGCTCCGCAGGGCAGGGCATCCTGGGCATGGTTGATGATGTGGCCAGGAGAACATGAAGACCTCACCTTGGACCAAACAATTGCACACAACACTACCCCTTTTGCATCCGTTTGTTGGAGATCTCTTACTTTCCGCCTTGTGAATGTTTGACGAAGCACAGCTAGTTGAGACCATGTTAATCCCAACCGGGTGATTCCCCAACCAGTGTGTTTGCACTAATGGGTACCTTGCGGTGAGAGTACAAGGCCAGGATTAGATCAAGGTGCTCGCTCTGGGCAAGACCAATTTGTCGTATCTCTACGTACAATCGTGACTTTGTAAAATGTTGAAATGCATTTCACCTGCGCAGGCTCTCACAAAGTGGCTGGGCGAAATTTGGGCGCGCTTTTCGGCTGCGCTGCCTCGCGCAAAGCTCCATTGTAAGATGTTCATGTGCATTCCACCGCGCAGGCTCGCACACAACGCTTGGGCACATTTGGTCTTGCTGTGGTTCCGGGCGAGTTCTGGAAGCGGTTGATTGGTGCGCGTGCGGGTCGGATTGCTCTCACCACGGCGCGGTGCGAGTTTTGAACATCGCATGTGAACTTCAAACCCTCTGCGGGCTTTGTTGGGGGGGGGGTCGGATCGCTCTTGTTGTGGCGCGGTGCGAGTTTGGAACATCGAAAGAAACCCTCTGCGAACGTGGCGCAGCGCAAATATTGAACTTCGAAGGCGAATGCTGGTCCCTCATAGGGATCCAGAAAAGAGCTCTTGCGCAGGACCTGGGAAGCTTCCCTCCAAGTGATCTTGTAGAGGATCTTGTAAAGACCGCCTGGGCAAGAATGGCTTGCAAGCCCTCTTTCAGAGCGTGCGCCTGTATTGGTGGGACTCTCGAAGCAATGCTTGCAGGTGCCAGCTGAGTACACCCATTGAAGGGTTTGTAACAGCAAGCGCACTAAATACAGCTGAGCGGCGATCAAAAATCCTATGAAGAAACCAAAATGGGATTCCGCGGAAGGATTTGATTAGGGCGCGGAAGCTTGCGGAAGCTTCTGCGGAGCACATTGCAAGCTTTGTTTCCACGGAAGCCCACGGAAGCTTGCTTCACAGATGGCAAACAAAATGAACATTTTGTTTGGCTCAAGCAAATTGTTTTTTTGGTGCCGGGTTCTTGGAAAAACCAACTTGCAAGTCATTTTGTTTTGGGTAAACAAATTGTTTCTATTGCGCCCCACACTCCAAATACACTAAACACCAAAACCAAACCAGGGAAGAATCGAAATCGCGGGTGGTTTTTCCGACTTCACACCGGAGGATGGGACATGTGAGGCTAGCGCCCCTTTTGGTCAGAGGGCCGGAGTGAATCAGTGTGCAGTGTGAACATGGTTCCAAGAGGGCCTATTCAGGCGCAAGGGTTGGTTCTTGCCCTGACCCTGGAGCAAGCCAACAAAAAGCAGAGAATTTAAAACAATTTGTTTCGCCCGAACAAATTGCTTTCCGGCCTGACTCAGTCTGGCAAGCAAAATGAAGAATAAACACGATTTATTTGGCTCTGACATGTTTTACCCATGCAGCTTCTTGACCCAGAATAGCGATTTATTTGGCTCAAGCACTGTGAAGAAACAACAGTGACTTGGAGGAACGCCCGGAACTCCTGCGTGCCAGAAACAACAGGCTTTCAGCAAGTTGTCGCGCGGGAACGCGCAAACACCCCCAGCAAAGCCCAACAGAAAGCCGACACAGACCACATGCGGAAGGCGCGGAAGCAAAATACTTTTTGCGGAAGCAAAAACCCGTGCCGCGGAAGCCAGCGGAAGATGCGCGGACACCAGTCCCATATTATGACATTTTTCCTTGTATTTTTGGTCACCGTTCAGCTGTGCAAAAAGTTAGTTTTGAACGTCCTGGACCAACCCCAAAAACATCCCCAACACCCAACGTGGTGGACGCATCGAGGTTTCTGCTTGAAGAAAGTCTTACCTTGTTGGCTCAGCAACGTTGGAAGGGCCACTGAGACCACCCCTGTATGGTGAAAACCATGATTCCAATTTGGCACTGAATCATGCCTTTGATCCGGCCAAGGCGAGTCGCCAGAAGGAATCCTCTACAAGCGAGTGGCCTTCCCTGGTCGCATCCTTGGGTTGTGTTTGCTTGGAGTTGTGGCGGTGCCAGCACGTAGTTCAAATGACCATGCCGCACATTGCCTTACAAAGGCGAGCAGGATGAGAGGAAGAAGGCGGGCCTGCACGCTGTCTTTCGTCAATCTCTTGAGTTACTATTGCTTCAGTGGCCGGACGGGGCCGCATTGAACTAGCTGCCGATGCGAGATCGCCGTTCGCTGGAAGGCGCGGGTCGTCACAGTTAGTGGAGATACCGCGGAAGTTGTCACGGAGGGTGATTGGAGGCCTGGAGGGACAGCGTGCAGAGAAGCATGCACCGTTTTTTCAGCCCACCTGAAATGGCGACCCGTACCATGAGGAGCATCAAATAGCCCTTCATTTGTGCTGCTTTTGGGATGACCGACTTGGTGTTAGCACCTTGGTCCTTTTGGGCTTACCTGAAGCCTCGCGAGCAGGTCAATGAATGTCGACATCGAGAAGATTCAGGCAAGAAGAGGGGAGGTCCCTGCATTTTGCATTGCATTTGCGTTCATCCACCTTGTGCCACGCAAACGTTTGTTTGGCTCCAATCCTCACCCTTATGGCCAAGGACCGAATATTTGATCGTTGCAATTCAGCAAGTAGTGTTTGAAGCTACTTTCCTTCAGGGCACTCTGTTGTCATGCCACCCCAAGCGCAGGCATGGTGTTGAACTCCATGCCAGGAGATCGAGGAGACGCAATTTGGGATCCCAGTGCCCTGTTCGGATCTTGGTTGGCCGCCCACAAGGGGGGTGACAGCACATGGCGCATGGTGTGACCATTGGTGTGAGTGAAAAGCCCCGGCGTGAGGCAAAATGGACCAGTCCGCGCCGACGGACTTTGGCTTTCTGATGTCCCATCTGACGCCGAAGGCCAAGGAGGCCAAGCAAATACGGGGGGAGCTGCACGCGTCGGCCAAGCTGTTTTGAATTCTGATTTGAACCAAGCTCGTGTGAAGCCAGAAAGAAGTAGGGTTGGAGCTAGTGTCAGCTTTCCATTGGCCTTTGAGAGGAGATAAAGGAGTCACCGAAGAAGAAGTGAGGCTCGTGACTGTGCACCAGGGATTGCTGAGCTGAGGTAGGGCGGAGTGGGAATATGGACAAATATGCTGCATTTGATGCCATAGGATGTACCTATGGTTATCCTGCGCGTAGGCTGAAACTTACAAGTAGGATTTCACGTTGGTAAGTCTCGTTTTCGGTTGATATGGTTGGTCTTCCATATTGCCAACACACGAAACATGAAAAGCAATTGGCTTGCCCCTTTCGTATTTTCCCATTATGTATCCTCAGAAGGCGCTTCAACAACATAAATGCCTTTGCTCACATTGGCAAAACGTAACTGCACCTCGTGAAAGTGAAACAGGTGGTAAACTCGGGCAGCCCATGTGGTGCAAGTCAACCGCGGCGCTGCTGCTCTCTTTTTTTTGTGAAGCATGAAGCGGATCACTGTCACACGGAACTTGCCCAACTTTTCCAAATATGTGATGTTGATATGCCATGGTAAGTGGTGGTAGAGCGTACTGCTCCTAGCCCTGCGACTGATTCATGACGTTTTGGCTTCCTGGGCTTAAGACTCATGACATTGCTCCAAGTCTTCTCTGGCCATGGAGCTCGGAAGATAGCTCACCCCCGTTCTCGTTTGTTTTTGTTCTTCGCATGCAGTGCATTTGGAGCCAAGTTAGGCTTGCGGCAAGTGCGCACAGACCTCGAGCATAACAGCGAGAGAGAATGCCCTGCCTCAAAATTTCAAGGAACAGCAAGTATTTCAAGCGTCTTAACGCCCGCCCAAAGTCCACAGGCCAGAATAGATCTCTGGCCATGCCGGAGCCGCGCTCCTCGCTACAAACCGCGAGCAGCTTCTCCGATGCGGGGTCCGGAATTGAGCTGCCACTGCTGCTAAACCCACGACCTGACAGCTCATCCACAGCGTCGCTTGTTTCGAAACCGTCCGAATCCAGGCTGTTGCGATTGGTTGCAAATGGGTCAGTCAAATACACATCATGAATCAGGTTCACTTGACTTGGTCTGTTGCATCGCTTTGCCTGGAAAGCTAGCGTTCTTTATCAGAATCGGGCACTTGAGACGGCTGAGTTGTTGCACTGTTTGGAAAGTATCCTTTATGGCCAACTGGGCTTCAGAAGGTCATCATTGTCCCTGAATTGCGAGATTGCTTCTTAGTAATGTGCTTCAATTTTGGTTTGGGCATCTATACGCAAGGCTGGCCTCAGCCAACGCGAGAGAAGCTGGTTACCATGATCAAGACTGACGGGGCAGAAGAGCTAACATACCAAGCAACAAGAATCGCTTGGGTCCAGTGCAAATAATATTTGTCACGGTCGTGAAAAGCGAGGTGGGAAGGATAAGAATGCATGCAGTTGCCACGGCTAAGTCTGCACAGTGTGTATACGTGCCAAGTTCAGCAGATGAATGGCAAGCTGGCAGTTACTGCAATTTCTTCTTCTCGATCTCTGCATTTCCTTCGAGTTTGCCATGAGAGTCCGCAGGTCGCAGGTTGCATGGGAGGGGAGGGGGGTATTGTTGTGACTGAGCCAAGGGCTGAACTCAGCACCCAAGCGACCAACGTGGCCAATGCGCAGCTCCTCGAAGAATACTTTGAAGAGTTGAACCTCTTCGATTTTCCCCCGGACGCACCGAGCGTTGAAGCTGGCAAGGAAGCTACCATAGAGCTCAGTGTCACTGCCCCCTTGCACGATGAAGCTGGGGAAGCTGGCATAGAGGTCAGTGTCACTGCCCCACATGAAGCAAGCGAGGCTGATGCCACGCCATGCCTCCATGTGAGTCCGGAGATCGAAGAACCTGCTGCACAGACGGCGGAGGAATTGTGAGGGCAACAAACCCTAGACTGTCAGCGAAGCTTTTGATCACTTGAAATGCGACTGGAGGGCTTCATGTTTGGCTTTACCCCTTGCACGGTGTTTTCGTACGTTTCACCTAGTCAAGCAAAGTAGTTTGATTGAAAGAACCTGGCCAGGACTGTCGCGACTATGTTTTCCTCTTGTATGCAGTCGCGCAGGCGACTGTTTGCGAGACGGGCGAGACAATCCCCGAGACTGTCCCCTCTTCGACTGCCCACGAGGTCGAGGCACTCGGCGAGACCTGCGAGACCTGCGAGACAGTCCGTGCCGGCGAGACACTCCGTGAGATTGGCGAAAGTCCGAAGGCCATTGATATCCTGGATATTCCTCTGGAGGAGATGCTCGCAGCTTGAGCTGGGCTTTAAGACATTTATTCTGCTCACAACCCATTTCGTTGGTTTTGTTCCAGGCTTGGTTTTGTAGCATTGCATGAGAGCGTGGAAAGGAGCGACTTTTGGCTTGAGAATTATGGTGGGGGTGTCAGGTGCCTTGCTGGTGTGCAATGTACATGGCACGGTGCAGACGAGTCACTCGCATGAGGCACCGGACGACATGGCACCGGACGACATGATTGACATGAGACCGGAGGAGATCCAGTGGTTGAAGCGAGTGCGACGGATGATGGCGCAGGACGGGACTGATTTTGTCCACGTCTCTCCCATTCCCCAGGCTATTCTTGCGACAGGCCTGCAGCTCCTGAATTGAATCCAACTCAGCCCTTTTTTGACATTGCCCGCCCACCCAGAATGGGTGATCTTGAAGCTTGACCGCTGCAGAGCAGAAGATAAAGGGTCTCGGGCTCGTTGGAACTTTACAGTGTCATAGTGCCTGCCTCGGGCTTGAGTATGCTTGAGATCGAGGCGGTTGGCCTGCATTTAGCAGAAACACATGTTAGAGTCGTCGAGACTGCCTAGCATCACCGAAGGCGTTTCATGTGGCAGCGAGTCATGAGCAGGATTGAATGTGGGCCGTCGTAGTGGATACAGTTGGCAGCAACAGGATGAACACAAAAGCAACAGATCAAACAACGGATCGAATGCTCACATATCTGCAGCACTTTCATGTACCCTGTAGGTGCCCGGTTGTGTTTAGGGCGGCTCATTGCCTCGCAGGAGGTTGGCCTACCTTCCCTGAAGATGACCCCGCGCTCGCTGGCAGCGGCCTTGGCGGTGGCGCCGTCGGACACATCCTCCCGTTGGACGGAGGCGATGCTCGGCATTTACAGGATGCTGGGTGCCTATCGAGCAGCCTTCTGAGATAGTTTCTAGGGGCGTCTTCCCTAGGAGAGCGCTTTCGTTTGAAGGTTGCTAGGCGGCTAGGCAGGCAATTCTTGCACACAACTCAGGTTTGCAATCGTTTGCCCCCCCAGCCACAGCTGGCTGGTTCTGAGACTTTGCACCGAGGATGACCCCTCCCTCACCGCCAGCCCCATCAGATGATGTGTGCTCAGAGGCTTCCAACCGGCCTGAGAAACCGCGTGTGCACCCTGTGCCGGCGCTGGATTTCAGCATGCTCCACACCGACGTGGATTACATGGATCCAGAGGACCATGAAACCGGCTACGAGTATTCCACGGCTGTAAGCCACGCGAAAACGTCGAAAACCTCCATTGGATCCGAACACTCTGAAGCGAGCCGGTCCCAACTGACAACTGCCGAACCGGAGAAGCCAGACGTCTTCCAAGCAAAGTCAGGGCCTGAGGTCAGATCACAGGCCTTCATGAACAAGATGCGGAAGAAGCATTTGCTGCCACCCGTCGAATCGCCCTTCGCAAAGCCATTGGTGTTGGCTCCCATCAAGCCCAAGGCGAAGGTGAAGAAGAAACATCATGATCCTCAGATGTTTTTTGAGGGTGGGGTGCCAGTGGTTGAACAGCTGCATTCCCATTTTCACCACCACTTTCATCTTCGAAATGATCTTCCAGCCATTTCACACACTAGTTTCTAGTAGCCCCAGGGCACAGTCTCACACTTACATTGTTTCTCAGCTCCCCGCCTAAGGCGCGGGCGCTTCAATGCCCAAAGTCGGCCATTCTCAATCTTTGAGTCTCCTATACAGAAATTTCCGGTCACAGTTCTGCGCAAGCAGGTTGAAAACGCGCTTCAAGTGCAAGTTCTAGTCTTGTTGAAGCGGCCCATGGCTCGCGTACCTTGACATTTTGGCACATTGTGACTGCGGGTGCTGAGTGCAATAGGCATTAGGCAGGTATTTCAGACTAAAATAAGGATGACACCCGATGTGTGTCGATTCATTCGACAGAGCGAGTGGCAGACGCTGCGCGGGCTATCAAGAGCAAAGCGCGGACCACCCGGGTGTGTTGCTAAAATGTAGCTTTGATTCATGAGCCAGGGAGTAGGGCGCAGCTTTTTCTGACAAAACGCAGTGAACTGCCTCGGCCGTCGTCGCTGTCGTCGTCCAGCAGTGTCGTGCCAGCACCTGCTTGCAGAGGCCATCTTGAACGGCAAAGCCAGCCAGAGGTTGGGCAAGAAGGGGGTGGAAGTGAGAACGCTCTGGGACCAAGGATGGCTACTCCTGCTTGCACGGTAATTTATCCAAGGGGCAGGAGAGCTTGCTGGACCCAGATGCCCAGATGTTCGTTTGGAGCATTTACTTCTCACTTAGACTTGCTGGGGGCAGTAAGTGTGCAGCGGAAAATGTGAGCTTGAGACTCATTCCAGCCTCCCACGGCACGACAATGCGAGCGTTCGCACTAGGCACGGCCAATGCATCTACTGATGTTAGATACCTTCATCAATCCCCTAGACCTGTAGCCAGATGCGTTGCATCTCATCACCTGCACACAATATTATCCTCTATGCGGGGGCCGCTACCAGCAATTGCGGAAGGGCATCCATTTTGGCAGATTTGTTTGTTGTAAGCATTGTAGCTCACATGCACTGCGCCATGGTGCCGTGGCGAAAAGACATCAGCAAACCATAGGTAATTGAAACAAGATGCAGGCCTGGCGGTTCTTGGCGTTTGCAGCGCACCCCCAAACCACACCACTGAAGGCGCTCTATTGGGACAGAACCACCCAATGAGACTTGACTTACATCACTTTGCCAGGGACCACGAATGGCTGTTTCACAAGTGGCTTTGGAGAACACGGCAAGCTCGCACCGCCCACGAAGTTGACTCACGTTTTCAACGACCTTTCCAAGTTGTTTCCATGGCGATTTGGTAAAGAGCGTGCAAGTTTGCTTGCTGCATGCGTCGCATCAACCTGATCTGGCCCATACAAGTGCAAACTTGCAACTTGCTTCGGTCAGGCGGATTTTGGATGAGTTGCGTTCGATCGAATCCCATCAAACCACAGCCCTTTTGATGCTGAGCTATTGAAGGCTTCAGCTCGAGGCCGTCGGTGCCATGGCCGTGGCGGTGCGCCGCCGCGTGCCGCCACCTGGCTGCATGTTAGATCAGGGCATCAGGCAGGCGAATGCCAAAGCTGACATGAGACTCACGGCTGCGCCAGGAACGACCACAGCTGTCTCTTTTGGGCAATTGCATACCTGACAGCGACTTGGCCAGGCAGTGTAATATGACTTATGAGCCTTGGGTATTGCTTCAAGGATTGCAGTTCCTGATTGGGCTCCGCTCACTGATCTCACTGCAATTCACTGCACCAAGCATCCAAAGACCTCGTGCCGCTTCCAATGTCCTGAAGTATGGTCAGAGAAAGCATGTATGCAAGTTGCTGCACAGGTCCAAGATGTCCTTGCCTGGCATGCAGCGTCGATTATATAGTTGCCACTGCCAAGGAAGGCGAGGTGGGTCGCGCCAAGGCGAAGGAGCTTCGTGAGGCGCTGGTGCGGGAGGTTGTTGAATGGAAGTCCGGGCTCCACTTTCTTATATTTTCTAGCTGTAGTGCTGTCGCTGTTGCACTTGTTATACTGGTCAACGTTTGGGCCCTGGCGCTGCTATGCGCTGCTTGCCTCAGCTCAGTGCAGTTATGCTTGATTTCGAATGGATGACATGTGCAGGACTTGCCCCTGGAAAAGGCCTTCGGAACCTTCCCTGCTTGCTGGGACCCTCTGGCTGCCCTGCGATGAGTTGGGTGTTGAATCCATGTTGATCCGGAAGGTATTTGCCACGTCCAGCCGCAGGTGTGTGCGCAGGATGCACTCCGGGACTCAGACCCCAGCCGAGCGCTGCTGCTGGGTTTCAACAGCGTGGAGGAGTACGCCAACTGGATCCGAAATGCAGCCCAGCTGGTGGTACGGGGGCAGTTTTTGAATTATGACGCGGCAGACCGAGCAAGGGACAACACATGATGAGACTTGCAATTGTTTGAGTATTGAGTGGCTATTTAGAAGCAAGTGTTTAATGAGGCCTTTTCGTAAGCAAAATAGAACGACGAGGCTTTACCCCTTGAGTCGTGGAGAACTGTTGTTTGCGGCCAGTGCTTGCTCCCTTCTTAAAAAAAACAAGCCAAGCAATGTGCAGTAATCCCGCCGAACATTAAGACAAGATCAGGATTACTCCGTGTTCTGCTTGGTGGCCCCTTAAAAATACCTGATTGATACTTGTCCCCGGTGGTTGCTTTGTCTTGGGTCATGCCGGGGAAGGGGTTGTTGGCATCAGACGGCAAGGAAGGGGGCAGTGGTCGCAAGATTGCACCCGAGGAATTTCACTGGGGCGGCGAGAACGAGCTGCTTCGATTGCACATGGCCGGACTGGTGCCATGGCTCACGTGATGCGCATTGGGAACCTGAGGATTCTTTGTCTAGCCAGGCATTATGGCAGCGGACTGAGGACAAGGTTGACGCAGACAGAGACAGAGAGAGAGAGAGAGAAGGAGAGAGAGAGAGAGGAAGGAAGGCAGGGCGGCAAGCTGGCTGATCATGACCGGAACGGGGTGTTCATGACTGCAGTGGGTGGGTGGTTTCAAGTTCATGCACTGTGAGCCGTATGCGGCTTGAAACCTCAGAAGACTGGGGATTCAATCCGTGCCATTGACCTTCCGCCGGTGGCTATGAAAGCCATGATGCAAGTTGGCATCGGCTTGATTTTGGTTCAACTCTTCTCAGGTGATGATTCGCAACCTTTCAACTGAAGCGGGAGAGGGAGGCAGCGACCGCAGAGTCAGAGAGAGAGAGAGAGAGACCTCAGCCCAAAGCTCGACATGAGGTGTGGAAGCAGCGGTGGTTTGCTGCGAGTCCATGCAAGGCCAGACCTGGAGCAAGAGCAAGCATCTTGCCTTCTTGGAGGTCGTCCCATGCATCACCGGAGTGATTGCATACTTCGAAGAATGATATGGAGACAGTTTCTGCTTTGGCAGCGTAGGCAAGATACGTTGTGTTGCGCCAATGGGTAACGCGGTTCTTTTTCTGCTTGCGGTGCCACTTTTTCGTGTGCCAGTCCTTTGCTACGGCTCCGACCTGCCCACCTGCAGCGCAAGGACGTGGGATTCAGATGCACACTCATGTGGAGTTCCTGCCTGCCGCTTTGCCTGGTGCATAGTCGCATAGGGTAGAGACGCGGTGATCGTGACCCATCATGTCAGGGTACTGCGCAAGCCACAGTGAACATTGTTGGACCACTGCCAGCAGGCTTGTTTGATGGCTCGACCGGTCAATTTGCATTCGCTCTTCAGTGTGTGGGTGTGCGCGGGGTGTGTTTGACCTGGCAATGGTGCATTTGTTTGGCGATTCGTTGGTTGGTTGACCGAATGATGGTGGGAAACTCGGCCGGCCAGCCTGCACAGGATATACCTCCTGTACACTGGGCAGCACTATGACCCCATCGTGGCGGCTGCAAATGCGGAAACGCCAGTGGAGCACGAGCAAAAGAGACAAAAGAAAGGCGCGCAAAACGCATGGGCATATGCCACTCTGAATTTTAGGTAGCCGCCTGGGTTTGCTTTTGATTTGCTAGATAGCACTTGTTGGAAGCAGTTTGTGTGGTAGACCGCATCCTGGAGGGAGGGCATCTGATGTAAGCCCCTTCATTTCTCCTTGTGGAGGAAGTTAGTGGAGGAACAGGTGCTTGAGAATTGACGAAGACCTTGCTCCGCTTGCAGGTGCATGATGCGTGAGGGCTTTTGTTCATTCAACGCGTTCACAAATTGCATCGTTATTGCGCTTTTGGTCGATGCAGAACTTCTTCACGCACTCCAACTATGCTGTCAATCTTTAGAACCTTGGTCAATCGCATTCGCATTTGCAGGCGACAGCAGTTTGGAATCTGGCGCCTTACTCCTCGCCAAGCAGCAGCCTGGACTGAAGCAGCCGCGTTTCATGAAAGAAGGCAACATGTTTCAAACCATGGCCGGGTACTGTAGGGCTTGTTGCTTCAAGCTGATTTGCGTTGCGCGAGCCCTTTTATCCCAGGCACGTAGAGGAAGCAGCCAAGAAGGCGAAGCAACGCCGCGCGAAGAAGATCAAATGACTCTGGGCGAAATCAGGTTGCTACGAATGTTGGTCGATGTTGGGTGGGCTGAGGCATCAAAGCCAGGCAAGATTGTTGGCACTCCACACTTGGCATGTGCGCAGGGGGGGGCATTTGTTGCAGCATTGCAAGGTGCACGGAGAGACTAGTTGTTGCAAGCATCATTGATGGAGCACCCACCTTGCTGGGAAGAGGTTTTGTGAAGCCATGGCATGCTGGATGTCATCAGTCATCTTACTTCTGACGGTTAAGACAGGATGGGTGATTTTCTTATCCGGAAGCGTACACTCAAACTGGCGGCACTGCAATGCTGGCAGAAGCCATCAAGCTTTAAAGAAACTGCCATCGAGGCGTGTGGTGAGTTTCAGCGTGCTATCAGCTGGAGTGAGTTTCAGCATCAAGGTCCCCCGGTAGTGCCCTTTTACCCTTTTTGGCTAAAATAAACTACAGAGAAAAGGGTACCCTTATTCTACCCTCTCCGCTGGAGGACCTAGCATGGCCACGCTTGACGCTTCGAGGTGGCGGCTGTGGAGCGCTGCTGAGCGACGCAGAGGCCTTTGCTAGTCACTGCGGGGAGGTGGAGCACGGGGACGACTTTGCCTACGCAGCTCAGACCTGCAGTCAGGTCTCATGCAAGGGGATTTGCTGAAGGTGACTGGGCGTGAGCCAGGGCATGCGGGTGCCAGCCAAAAAGGGAAGGGGCAGAGGAGTCTGGTCAGGACAGAAGTTTGAACAGTTGGCTCTATGTACACATGATAAACAGTTCTATACATTTATAGATACCTCTGTGTGCAATGGCTTCTCAAGTTAGACACACGAAGCCCGCACTTCAAGGAAAGGCAACTGCTTTGATTGTGCCGTATGTACGCAAAGGCTGCCAGAAATAAGTGTACATTGTTGTTGTGCAGCGATCTATTCAGATGGGGGGTGCATTTTGTTGAAGGGCTCTTGGGAGGGGCAAAGCTTGCAGAGTGGCGTCGAAGGTGTAGGACCCCCGTTCTCATAAGGACTGCGAGGAGGTGGAAGTTGTCATAGCGCCTTGGCCAAGAGATTTAGGCAAAGACCCATAGTTTAAGACATCATGAATGGCGACATGGAGGCAGTGCTTCAGTGTGTTGGGCCTTGTGCTATAAAAGGTTGATGCCTTGGTTATCAAGGTGTTTCAACCTTCGACGTGGCATGAGTCAGCTGGCTTGCTGGAATTGGCCTGATGCACAACAAGCAAGTGTCAGCAGTGCACAGGAAAGTCTTGACCCACCGGCCTGCCTTAAGGAGGAAGGCGATGACCTGCCAGATGGGACTGTGGATTTGAATGCAGATCACATCTACAGCTTCTCGGCTTTTTAAGGCATGTCCGCAACCCAACGGGCAGCACTGCTGATGCAATTTCAGCATTCAACCAGTTGCGCTTCAATTCCATTTGAACTCAATGTTGATCCAGCTGGATGAGGTTGGTACGGAGCACTCATATGTGTCCGACTCCCTTTGTATCCTGGAACGGGCAAACAGTACAGAGGCATCACTTGAGGCAAACCTTAACCACCATGAGCCCGCAGGGCCCGCAGGGCTCGATCAATGCAGCCCACTGGCTAAGGCTTCACCAACACTGGCAAGGACGGGACAGGGGGCTGCAGGCGTATCAGCTTTTCATGCTGCAACCCGTCCCCAAAATCCAAAACAGCAGTAGCTTCCCACAACAACCCCATACCATGTTGAGCCACACATCGCCCCATCTGCCTATATTATGACGAGCTCTGGGAGCAACGAAAGAGCTCACTATGATGAAGGCCCTTGGGCATCCCTTACTTCAGGCTTTAGAATGCGACTTGCAGATGTTTGCCGTATTCTGGATGCTGAGATCTTGGCAGTCGACTCCCTTCGTAAACAGAGTAGTGACATGTGCTTTGGGCCCCTCCACTTTTCTGAGATCCTAGGATTCCCCCGTAGAATCCTTTGCCCAGGATCCTCTTTGTCACGATGCTGGGCTGCAATTGCTCTTGTGGCAGCCGCAGCCCGTGTTTTTTTCTTTGCAATTCAGAAGCTGAGGCAAGGTTCAACAAGTGTCCACGCTCCCACCGTCAAATTTTCAATTAATGTTTGCTTGCACCTGCGTGCCTAAGGACCGCACACACACACACCAAGAGGGCTACTTATGCATGAAGCACTTCCCTCGTCAAGAACTGTGTTGGATGCATGTGCCAGGGTTCGGCCCTTGAGTTCCTCAAGCATCGCATGACTGATTGTGCATACATATGTTTTTTAATGCATATATACATATATACACAATCGGTTCTTTCACATCTTTGAAGGACATCCGTTAACAGAGAGTCTCCCGCTTCCCAACCGCCGCTTGCCGCTCAGTTGTCACAAGCACATGGCAGGCAGGCAATCATGGCATGGGATGCTCCTGATTCGAAGGGCCTTGACTTCTTCCTGCCACCGACGCCTTTCATAAATACGAAATTCGATGCTTGTGCATTTCTAATTCGAGCCCGGTATGTCCAAACAGCTGGCTCGGTCTTCCTTGGCTGGAAGACTTTCCCAAGGCTTTCCCTGCAAGCTTCACGGTAGCGGGAATCAGCGCCTTGGACATGAATGTTAGGCTGAGGAACGGGCAAAACGGAGTGACTGAAGTGTGTTTTGTCCGTGATAGTCTCCATGCTGCTTAATGATAGGTCAAGTGTTGGCTTCACTAGGGTGCTTCAAATGTCATGCTGAAGACCACCTTGTGGAAGGTGTGTTGCTGTTCCGGTCGTGGGCATAGCAGCTGCCACCGATTCTTGCGTTGAATAATTGCAATTCTGGGCGGGTTGCGTGGTTGGTTTCCATGGAGGCCTGGCACTCCCACCAAACATGTGGACAGGCCAGTTTTTGAGGCAAGCTGGATACGCGAGGACAGCAGGACCCAACCGCGTTGGATGTCATTGTACTTTATTGTACTTCTTGAGTAGTGCTCCCTAAGTGCGAAATTGTGCGGAAGCGCAGCACCGAGTAATTACCATGGCCACTCTAGCGGAATTAAGCTTGGCGAGCTTTGGCTGCCATCACGCCGGGTTGGGAGATGAAGCCGCTCATACTGTGTGGAATGCACTTTGGATGGTAGCAATTCGTTACGTGTTCGCTAGGGGTTGTGTATTACCTGTGCGGCCTGAATTCCATGAGGCCTGGGGGTCGCCAAACCCAGGCAGGACTTTTGCTGTAAGGCTGCGGGGGGACGTGTGAGACCTACTGAGGGTCAGTCAGGGTCGCGTCAGAGAGAGCACTATGGCAAATTAGCCGGTTGGTTTGTGGCAGGGTAGCTCCATGGATTTGACATGTTTGAAATATCATCGCCTCAGACCCGTCATGTAATTGACTCGTATCATTGGTCCGCTCAACAGGCAACTTGAGCCCGCTGTCTCGCTGAAGGTTTCCCCAGCATGGAGCACTACTGGCAGGCCGCACCCTTCATGGGCCAGGATGATACACTGGCTCAGCGCATCGCAGCAGCCCCGTCGGTTGATGAGGCAACCCGGAGAAGAGACCGCAGTGGCCCAATGAGCAAATTACAATGTCAAACTCCTGCAGCTGCTGGATAGGTCCTGCCAATGATGTTCAGTGTCCTGAGTGTGATCGTCATATCTCGGTCCGCGAGAAATCGCTCATGAGCAAATCATTCCACTTCAGGGATCTTTGGGAGTCTCCCTCAGGGTGTTTTGACTTGCCCGGCCTGACTATCCGTTTTGGCGGTGCTGCATCCATCCCGGATTGCCAGTTGCCAGTTCAACTGGCAAACACGGACCAGCATACAACCCGAGCAACCGGGGCCGTCCCTCCCCGCCGACGCCACTGATTGAGAGGCCATGATCGTGGCCGGGGGCGCCGGGCCGCATGCCCAGCGCGGGGACTGGCGGGAAAAGCGCGGGGAGCTACTGTGGCAAGGCCTGCAAGCCAAGGCGGGCTCTGAGGTCAGGCCATTTGTTCTGGGGAAAGAAGGTGAAGTTGAAAGATGCAGCCGGGGGGTGGGGGGGGGGGGGGGTTAGAGAGGCACTTAGAGAGGGCAACGGGAAGAGTGATAAACTGGCGCAACCAGGGAGGCATTCAATGTTGATGCATTGGATCTTTTTTGTTCCAGCCACCTTCTTGCAAGCTGTTCTTGCCCACTGGCAAGGAAATCCTGCTCCTGGCAAGCTAGCATGGCCATAACTGGTAAGAAGAGCAAAGAAATTATTTGCAAGTTCTTTGACCACTGCGCTTCGAAGGTTTCCCAGTCCGATTCCCTTGAGGCAGCTGCCAGCAGCACCTTCGTGCAAGCACTGCGAGCAACTGGCAGCAAGACTCTGGTATATTTGGATCCGGACCCCTGGGCTGGCATGACGGCACCAGGCACCGAGAGCTGAAAATGGACGGACAGCGGGCGACGGGTAAACGGTGACAACATTTGTTTGCACGTCTGAATTTTGTTTGGCCTGTTGAAGATGTTGACTTGATTTGCATTGCGTCGCTGCTGAGGGCTTCGGGGCTTTCATCTCACGTTGTCACTGTCAAAGCTTTGACGTGGCGGTAAGTTGTCCTAACGAAAGTTTAACGTCCAAGCTTACACCAGAGGCAGATCAAGTAGCACACTTCATCAGCAGATCCTTGGAGGTGGCCTGGCTACAGGCCAGAACTCCGTGGGCAAGGCGCGCTGTGTTCTGTTTTGTTGTTGCAGAGTTTGTGTGCAGACCAAATTCGTTGAGCACAAGCAAATGATTGCTCAAAGCCGTTGCTTGCCGCAAGGCATATCAGAAAACGCTCGAGGCTGTTTGCATTTGCGTTGATATGGCCGAGGCGTGAAGCTCGTTGGACTTACTTTCTAAGTGATGGAACAGAGATAAAAAGCCAGCGCATCGACGAGCAAACACTCCTGACATCTATATTTTATTGGGATTTGGCGGCTCCGGGCACTGAGGCCCAAAGGGGGGTCATAGTAATTGCCAATGGGTCACGAAGCACGGTCATTCTAATTGCAACTGACAGTACTTGGATCAAAGAACGTCACCACAATGCACCGTGCCCTTTGGCACGGTCGCAGCGCCGGGTGGATGGGTGCCCATTGTTGTGGACCAAAAGGAACTGTTGTAGCTGCCCAACAGTGTAGAGTCGCTTCCAGAGTTCATTGAAATGATTCTATAGTATTCTCACACCACAGCATGCAAAGGACCTGCTTCGATGGGGTCGGAGAAGTGGTGACTTGTCCCTGCAAGGCACTGATGGAGATCCGCGCCCAGCTGCCATAAGGAGATTTGGCTATGAGAGTTGGTCGACCGCCAATGGCTGATCTCGAGGAAACGGACTCGAGTCAGCCTAGGAATCAGAAACTGTCGCGGAATCCGCAGAAAGAGATGCGGGTCCTAGCTCGCGGCTTTAAAACTCAGCTACTGCTATTGAGAGATGGTTGCCCTGCTCAGACTGAAGGCAGGACATTGGAGGCGAGAGCTCATATTCTGACCAACGCATGGTGTCAAGCTAGTCTTTGATTTGTGTAGGGAAAGGTATCCGCATCGATTCCCAGCCCCCATGCGATTCCTGGGTGATTCCTTGACAGCGACGCTTCGTACAGCGCACGCGAGCCAGCGAGGAAAAAGCCCTCTAGCCACGGAAAGAATGTGGGCAGTTGAAATCTTGAATCTGCAGAATCCTTTAGCAGCAGTCAAGCACGCACCATAAAGTCTCAGAAGACCACGTTGTGTTTCCTGCTTGGCTCTTTTGCATGGCTGCCTATGAGAGTGGGTTATGTTTCACAGCATTAAGCTGTGCAAGCTAGCTGGTGTCTCACGCGGGCAGGAGGTGATCAAAAGGCTTGGTTCGGTCTGTTCAATCACAGTCGTTCAGGAAGGGCGATATCAAGAACTGTGTTTGGGCAAGCCTTGTTTTCGCCAGGCAGAGGCAGCCAGCCAGGCATTAGTTTTGTTCTTGTTGCTTGTGGACAGGCATGGACCCCGGAGCCGCCGGTCGCCGCTTGCGCGCGCGCGCGCGCGTCACCACTTGCAGGTGGTTCATGCGATGTGGGACGTGACCATTGAAGCCAGGCCAATCGATCGCAGGTCTGAGGCTCAACCGGCCGACTTGTCACAGAGGATGTGATCCGCTCCCATGTCCACGGGCTTCGGGGCCCGCATCAACCAGGACACGCGGCAGAAGGAGTTCAGCACGGTCAACAAGGACCTCTCGGAAAAGAAAATGGCAGGGCAACGGGGTGCTGGTGTCAGAGCTGCCACTCCAAAGCAGCAGAATGACATGTGGAGGACCTAGGAACTGTTTTGCCATGGAAATGCCGTGGAACACGGATTGAAGCAAGGGACAAGGCTTGGATCACAATGAATGGACATGCCCCAGAATAGAACATCCTGGCATGCATAATGGAACATCACACGTGCGATATTTGAGCATGTGAATAAAGGGAGCCCACGGCCCAAACTTGCAGCAGTGAGAAATCTAACAAAAGGATAGCAAATGGCAGGGTTCGCAGCATTGGAGAGAGTTCTGAACCGTCCCTCAGGATGGGAAGACCGTTTGGGAGCCTGGCTTGCCTGCAACTGTCACTGCACGTCGGCAGCATCGACCTCAAAAAGGGGCCCCGGTGCCCGAAGACGCTCGGCACGCGAGAGGGGCCTGGTTGAAATAGTTGCTGGGGGGATCAAATTGGAGCTGGACAGCTGCGTTATCAGACCCAGGCATCAAATCAGCACTATGGTGGCGAAACCTCATTTGGAAACAGCCAGTTGCTAGAGATGTCATCCTTCAAAGGGTGCAGGGCAGCAGTACCTTCGGAACCGACATATGTCCACGGCAACGAATTGTCACCCGTAGGTTTTGTGGCGCTACATGTTTGGAAAACAAATGTCTTCGTCTCAGGAGGTGAGCCACGTGTCGTGCGACCTGCGGCTGACGCTGAAGCTCCCTGCCTCTGGGAAGGTGGAGTGGCTGGAGCGGGCGGTGAGGGCCATGGGCTTCGGCAAGACGAAGATCCAGGAGCGACTGGGAGTCGGCGTGTCGGGGGAATACTGGGAGTAATTAACTTGAGCCGAGATGGTTGTGGGTCAAAATCAATGGGATCCCATTTTGAGGTAGGTGCACCACCCATTTTAGTCTATTTTGCTGGGGATTGGGATGTTCACCGGGGGTACGGGCTTTTGACCCATGACGCGATGACCAGACCTAGTGCACTATCGTGAGCTGGGGGCTGCACAGACATCGAGATTCGGCATGCGAGCTTCTTGAAGAACTCGGTTTGGGTGCGAGAGCACCTGGCAAGAATTAGTCGAGAGTGGGCACTCACACTGGGCCTTCTTTGCGCAGGATGTTTTCAACATCATTTCGCATCCCAAGTTCGCTTCATGCGTCTCAGAGAAGTACGGCAAGAGGATGCTGCAAGTTGTCGCTGAGAACATGGACCGCTTTTCGGAGAAGCAGCGCCTTACACTCTCCAGGCAAGCTCAAGCCAGTAGAATGCAATTGTGCAGGGGCTCCAGATGATGTCAACAGTTGAGGTCCCATGTGTCTCCTCGGGGAGCCTCCCTGATAGCATGTCCAAAACATGTTTGGAAACTGACTTATTCGAAGTGTGAACTGTGGCATGCGTCATGCAATGAAGGAACGAGGTCGACCGGGAATGATATTCTGGAGGCTGACAGGCAGCGCTCCTGCTCAGTGTATGATGTTTGGGAGATGTTGGGATCATTTGGGCTTGGGCGTGTCGTGCCACACTGGCTGATGCTGATGGGAGAGGCAAAACACCCATCAAAAACTCCCGAGCGACCAAGCCGACGGGCCACAACATTCCCCATGGAAGCAAAGTGGCAATCAGAAGCCGCTGGCATGAAAAAGCAGAGGTCCATCGCAAATTGTGCAGTCGCTAGACTCACAGCCCGGGCAGGGTATCATTTGCATTAATTTTGTGCACCGAGAAGTGTGATTCTTTGTGCCCCAGTGTTGTGCCGTGTTTCTGAGTGGGCTTCATGGTGGGCCTCAAGCAGTTGCAGCTATCGCCTTCACTTCTTCTGCGTTGCAGATGAGGTTCTGAGTCAAGCCATGCTTCACCTGAGGGATTTTGAAAGGGCATTCCCTGGCGCAACAAACCGTTTGCTCAGTCCAGTCGCGGCGAAAAATGAGACCGCAGGGGTTCCCCTTTACATTCCTCCTCATTTCATAGACGTAGCACTTAGCAAGCAAACATAAGGGGCTTCGCCCTTGATGTTGCAAATTGTGGCTTTGTCAAAAGCATAAGTCAAAGATGCTCCTTGGGATAGGTCTCAACTGGCCATGTGCCACGTTCGCTGGGTAGAAGCTGAAACCAGGGCAACCCCCGCTCCAGATGCAAGCTGGCGGAGCTTTTCAATGGCGATGGAGAGGTCCCTGAAAGAGACCCGAGCCCGAGTCCACCGCGGAGACCGCGGAGGAGCCACACGCGAAAAGGATGCCAACAGGTGAGGGGGGAGGTCATTGGACAGGTTTGTGGAACCTCTAAAAGCAGCAGTTTCAATGGAAAACAGAAAATTGCCACTTTCGAAGGGGAAATTCAGTGACCTCTGTTGAAGTCTCGAGTAAGGTGTGGCTGTCGTAAAGCTCCGCGAACCGCAGCCATTCCAAGAGATGCCTTGCGCTGAAATAGCGCCGTTTGCCGCAACAAGATATCTGGAACCACCGCCATGTGCACATTGATTTGGTACACCAGGAGCCGGTCCCGCTCCAGGATCTCCAGGACGCAGAAGAGGCGCCGCTAGTTCAGCCACGTGTGCTCATTGAGGCCTTGTGTTGAGCCGAGCAAGCATGCAGAAGCGAGTATCTATATTTGCCATGGGATGCTCGCCCAGATGCACCCTGCCGGTATGTCCCGGTAGAATACCGAGTCTTGCTTATTCTAGAATGCCAACGTTTTATCATAGATTTCCACTAGTTTGTTTGGCATTGGCAATCTGAACACGTACTTGATATGTTCAGTATTGCCAAAGTTAAGTTTGCCATTGCCGATCTTTCATTTTAGGTGTCCATAGCTTCACTTGGTATTGCCAACTGTTGACCCTGGATTTCCAGAAATGAATTAGTATTGGCGATATTAAATGTTTTGCATTTGACTTTGAACAGTCAGTACAAACTTTGGCGTCCATCCTTTAAACGTAAAAGGCGAAGGCTTTGATCTGGGAAAAGCGTTTGCAGTTGTGCGTTGTTTTTCCTTGAAAAGCAACAGCTTTCCATAGTAGAGGACCCCAGAGAAAAGCTGCCCCAGTATGTATGATCAATGGCTGGCTCATGATCTCTTTGTCGACTGGCGCAGCGTCAGCTCAGTTGGTTTTCAAAACAGGCAAGAGAGCTTTGTCATATGTTTGGCATTGCCTGGCTCAAACGAAGTTGACTTCCTTGCCGACTTCCTTCCAGCTATATTGCATGTATGCAAGCATGCTATGGCACTTGCCCGGACAATATTTTGACAATGTGATTTGGTGCTGCGCCCACAGATCTGTGAATTTATTAAATGTATATATATGTATATATACATTAGCCCAAAAAATACCCAAAAAAGAAGAGCATATAAATGTATGTGTATATATATATATACATCTACTGTGCATGCCCCGCAGCCCTTCGTCTTGCGTAGATACACAGAGGCTGTTTCTTCATGAACGGCCCGGACCAAGCACCTGGCAGGTCACCGAGCCGGGCTGCTTCCAGCCAAGGCGGGTTGCCTTTCTTGGCAGGTCAGCTGAGACCTTCTTAGGGACTGATGGCAAATCAGACTCATCAGATTATTTGCCCACATTTGTTTGTATCCAGTGTGCAAGGTTACCTAGCAGGCTCACCTGGAGGAGAACACAAGGGCCCGCGGAACCAAGTAAAGCGAGGGTGATGCTCATAAATTCGGGAACATGCCATACTGTAGTGGGGTGTTGGCAGCAGCCATGTTGCGCCAACCTTCCTCCATGGCAGGCTGCGTGTCTGAGTCGCCTGTGGCAAAGACAGAGGAGGACCGCATGGAAAGGGAAATCGCGCAATGCGTTGACATAGAAGGTAGCTGTTTGGATTGCAGAGGCTGGCAGGATTTGTTGTTTCAACTTGCCTTGCTAAGGCCTAAGACAGCCCTCACCACCATTGACAATGGGATTGAACATGTGCCCACAGCTGGCAACGCATGGCCACAAAGCAAGGCCTTCCCTTTCAAGGATCCTTTGCCCGTTGTGACGCGACGGTCGCTCAGGACTTGGAGTGGGAGGAGACACGAAAGAAGCAGGAGGAGGAGAAGAGGCAAATCGAAGCGCAGAAGCAGGCGCTCAAGGATCAGGAAGCCAAGCGAAAGGCTCGGGAATGCTCAGGAATGGCGCAGCACCTGAGACATCCATAGGGGGGGAAGATCCAATTTACTCGCGCCATTTGCCCAACCAGTGCAGAATCAAGATTGAGTTCGATGCATTTCTTGCAAGCTGGGCGTCCCAAGCGACTGGCGATGTTTTCCGTGGCAACCATGTTGCCCCCAATGCAGCCAGGGGTCAAACTGTTTTTATTCCAGAGTTGTGGCATGTGCAGTTTCAAATCATCACTCATGCAGCCTTCAGCACTTCAGCACGAGATTGACATGGGGCTTGATATTTCTGCAAGGCTCGTGCTGCAGTGACCAGGCAAAGCTAGGAGCTGCCTTCCAGTTCGAGCCTGAGGAGGACCTCGAAAGCACCAAGAAGCAGCTAGCCAGCAAGCTGGTCTCCCGCAAGGACCTCGTAGACGCAGTTCTTTTTCGGCGGATTGAACACTTCTTTCCACGGGACAGACTGAATAGACAAGTGGCTGTGGCTCAAAAACCAATGGTACCATTTTGGGGTAGGTGCACCATCCATGTTGGTCTATTTTAGTGGAGATTGGGATGTTCACTGGGGGTACGGGCTTTTGACCTATGGCCAAGTGCGTAGCAAAACGAATCTCCGCGCTTTGTCCTTCCCGCAGGAGGAGTTGCCCTCGCTGGCTCTGTCCAGGGCCTCCGCCCAGAGCGAGGGCGACCCACGCTTTGTGGAGGCCATGGGCGGCGACAAGCTGCTGCAGGAGGCGACGCCGAGTTGCCTTCGCTTGAGATCCCTGTTGCAGTTTGCGGATTCCTTCAGACTTGGTAGGTATCCCATTTTAAGTGCTTTGCTCAAGGGAAACCAAATCCCAGGTAAAGATTGCTCATAGGCAAGCGCCAAATCAGCACTATTGGCTTCAATCAAGTGATTTTTGGCCCAGATTCTGAGGCATCGGTCTCAGTTTCCTTGGTTCGCAAGCCCTGCCGACCCGACACGAGGCCCACAAAATCCTCCGCAATGCCGCGGGCAGCGGCCGTGTGGCGGCGCTCAGCCGATCTCGCTCGAGGCGCCGAGGCGGCCGAGAAGGTGGGAGCCGATGTGGATGGGCGAGATCCATTTCGCACCCTATATGAGAACAAACAGACCGTGTCTCTTCTTTTTGTTTAGCAGCGGAATCGTCAGTAAAAGGGTTCTTGAGGTGGTGCTGGATTTTGTTCACAGTATGTTCGGAAAACGACGGACCTGGAGTTGGTGGTATGCATCGTAAGCGCAGATAGTTTCTTGAAGGCATCGCAGGCGGTTCTGTTCCCAAAAGGCCCGCTGCCACGGCAAATGTGATGCCATTCAATGTGGCGCAATGGTCACCGTTTTTCTTCGTAGTCTTTTCTATAAAAATGCCTCATTGTTGGCACTACACCGTCTTTTAGCTGTCACTTTCAGCACAGTGAGATGGAAAACGCCAGAGGTTGCCTCAGTTTGCTTTCATTCTGAAGCCCCGTTAGGTCGGCCCCATGTGCGCTCCAGCGGCAGCTACCGCTCCCCCACCCCGGATGGCCGAGCCCGCGGCCAGGCCCGGGCAGCGCGCAAGGCCAAGATGCGCCTGGCCACCATGCGGATGGGGTTGATCACAAGGTCTCGTGATACATGGGAGGACCATTTTGGGAAACCACCAATATCAGAAAAAAGACTTTTGATGAACCCGCATGTCTCTGGGGGGGTGGGGGTAATTCTGATCGGGAGAAGTCATTTCGATGGTTGCTGCTTCACGGGGTTTTGGTGGGAGGGATGCGTATGTTTTTTCCCCCCACAGCTGAAAGCTTTTTGGGGTCTCAGCCCAGATAGGCTCCGGGGTGCGGGGCGGCACTAGGTAAGGTTCCACGAGGGTTCCACCAGGGTTCCACCAGGTTCCACCAGGGCTCAATTTCTTCGAGGGCTGCGGGGTAGTCCGGGGTGGTTGTTTGAGGAAGGCCCCACGAGGGTTCCACCAGGGTTCCGCCAGGGTTCCACCAGGGTTCCACCAGGTTCTGCGAGGGCTGCGGGGTGGTCCGTGTTTGAGGTAAGGTTCCACCAGGGTTCCACCAGGGTTTTACCAGGGTTCCACCAGGGTTGCAAGGGCTGCGGGGGTTCCACCAGGGTTCCAGGGTTCCACCAAAGTTCCACCAATTGGTCCGGGGTGGTTTGAGTTCCGCCACTTCCAAGGGCTGCGGGCTGGTCCGGGGTGGTTTGAGGTAAGGTTCCATGAGGGTTTCAGAGTTCCACGGGTTCTGCGAGGGCTGTGGGATGGTCCGGGGCGGCGCTGAGGTTTCACAGAGTTCCACAGAGTTCTGCAAGGATCCCACAAGGGTACCAGAAATGTTCCGCAAGGTTTTGTAATTTGCCCTGGGGTGCGCCCGCCGCCGTCTGAAAAGCCATCGGAGCGAGCGGAACACTAAGCAAAACCGAAATCAATGGTTTTCAGCACACTTTCATTGTTTTGTCACCTGCTCACTTGCTCAGGCAACGCGGCCCAAAATGCTGGCTTTGTGAGGCTGCGAGGGCTAGGGGGTGATGTTCCAAAAACGCTGCACGAGGTTGCCACCAGGTTCTGCAAAAGCTATGGGGCAGCCCTGAGGAAAGGTTCCAACAAAGGTTCCACGAGTTGCGGGCCCAGGTCGGGGCCCGATTGCACCGTCAGGTCCCGATCGGCCCCGTTTGCGCCATCGCGCCCCGATCGGGGCCCGACTCAGTAGGGCCAAGCTGGCATCGGCTAGTTTTGCTAGACGCAGTTGTGGGGCCGCGTCAGCTATGTTGCACCACGCAACCATCGGGCCCCGATCGGGCCCCGATTTCATCGTCGGGCCCCGATTGCACCGTCGGCCCTGATCGATCGGGCCCCGATCAGGGCGCGATTGCGCTGTCACTCTTAGCTTCGCTTTATAAAGTTACAAGGCGGCATCCTCAGCAACACCGGCGGTGAGGCGTTCCGCGAGGATTCTGGGAGGGTGTGGTGCTGTTGGGGATATCGCCGGAGCTTATTTTTTCTGGCTTCATTGTGACTAGACGCGGCCTCATCAATCTCAGCCCGTTTTGTGGAAGAATCTGGCAGATTGATGTTGTACTTGTGGATGGCACAAAGCGTGAAGCTTCCAATGCTCATACTTGGTTGTTCGGGGCATTGGTTGCGTATTTGTGCGTTTTTGTGTCTGCATTTTTGTGTGTTCCTTTGTTTGTGTGTCTGGGTGTTTTGGTGTCTGCGTGTCCGGGTGTTTGTGTGTCTGTGTGTGTGTGTGTGTCTCTGTGTGTCTGTTTGTGTGTGTGTGTCTCTAGGTGTGTCTGTCTGTGTGTGTGTGTTGGTTGTGTGCGTGCTGGGCAGGTTTTGTGTCGTGTTTGTGTGTTGTTCTGCTTGAATCCCTCAAGTGCAAGAGAGCAGCGTTTGCAGATGATTTCGTTTGACCCTTCCTCGTGCGTAAAAGAACAATACGACCATCCCATCGCCACCCTGGCATCTCAGGATTGCCTCCCTCATGGGCGCCAAGAAATGATGCTCGCGATGCCTGGCTGGTGGCCGCAGAAGTGCAATGCTGCGCTGGCCTTGCCTTCCTGCAAGCTCACGGCTTCCCGCCGAGGAAAAAAGCTTGATGTTGCACACCGCTTGGAACTTATGCTTTGGCTTTTGTGTGCAAAACACATGTAATTCCGTTTGATCATGCTGGTTTTCCTGGCGGGGCAGTTGGAACACTTGATGGCGGCCTGTGAGTTGTAGGCAAAGACTATGTCCAAGAATTGTGTGGATATCCGTGGGCATCACCATAGAAACGATGAAACGCAAACAGCATGTGCATCCAGCTGCTTGCTGCAAGCAATCAGCATAAATGCATAAAAGTTCTCCATGCAGGCGAGGTGTGGCGCGCATTCCTGTTGTAGTGTGGTGGTGTGCACCTTTGCTCTTGAAGGTATCGGCTGAGTGTGTGTGTGTGTGTGTGTGTGTGTGTGTGTGTGTGTGTGTGTGTGTGTGTGTGTGTGTGTGTGTGTGTGTGTGTGTGTGTGTGTGTGTGTGTGTGTGTGTGTGTGTGTGTGTGTGTGTGTGTGTGTGTGTGTGTGTGTGTGTGTGTGTGTGTGTGTGTGTGTGTGTGTGTGTGTGTGTGTGTGTGTGTGTGTCTGTGTGTGTCTCAAAAGGCCCAGTGAGTTGCTGGAGCGGCGCAGGGCGGGTATGAGCTTGCAAGTTTGACGTTGGGATGGGGGGCCGCCTTGAATTGCGAAGGCAGAGTTCTGCTGCAGCCTGAGATGAGTCAAGTTGCCTGGGCTAGTGAAATTGGGCGCAGTCAGAGGAAACGCTTCATGCAGCCACCAACAAGCAACGTAGAATAACACCAGGAGCTAGCCACCGGACCCACACAACGTGGATGCCAGAACGTTTGGTCCCCCAATTGCTAGACTTCGCGCGTTTGAACCGAGCAGTTCATCGCATGCTATGGATGATTCGCTGCTCGTGGACGTGGAGCAGGTCTCCGATTCGAATACCGATATCTCAGCAGTCGCCCACGCCTCCACCGACAGCTCTGAGGAGAGCCCACGAGCTCCTTGGCATGGGCCTGTGGGCAAGAACTTGCCTGGCTTGAAGGAAAGATTGATTTACCCTGGCCAAAGGGAGGGCGAAGAAATCTGATTGATGTTGATTGACCTGTTTTGAAAGACCTGCTTTTTTGACCTGCTTGACCAATATCCGCGTCACGTCTCAAAGGAAGGCGCAATGTATTGGGATGGGCCGTATGTGGTTGTACGATTGCCTTGGCTTCAGCTTCCCGAGGCCAGCTTGCTCTTCACTCGCTTTGATCCCCAACCCAAGCCAGATCCCATGTTTCAACAGTTCTCACAGCCCTTGGCAGCTAGATTTCAAGACGCGAAGCCCATTCTCCTTGGCGTCCGTCCTGGCAAAGTTGTCATAATTGACTAAGGTGTCAGAATCGCAATGCCTTGCGGTGTGGCGCCCGCTGCCCTTTCCAGAAATGCCCGGCATGCCCCGTGTTCTCTTGGAGGGCTGTGAGGCAGCCCAGGCTGCTATTCAGGACAGGCCCTGCGACACTAGCACTGGCTCTCATTTTCTTGGCAGCATCACGAGCCATGCCATATCCTGTTCTTGTCTTTCGGCACATTGACCCTGGATCAGCCCCAGGCTAAATTTTGATAGCTCGCTGGGAGAACCTCCCTCCTTAAGCAGTCCGGTGGTGTCACTTCTGTTTGCCAGACTCAGTTGTATTTTGCTTGGGCCCGTATTTATCATATTGTGAACGGGCAACCGCTCCGATGTAGGCTTTGCTGTCTTGAGAGTTTGGGCGGTTGGGCTTTGAGCGCAGGAGGTGAAGGCCTGGGAGCCTTTGGATCTCCTGTCCGGAGCTGTGCACCTCAGCTACCTGATGCTCTTCAGCTCCCTCTACGCGCAACTGCCTGGCTTGCACGGCCCGCAGGGCATAGACCCCCACACTGCCGCGCGGATGCCAGCGGTCGCACGCGGCTTCCTAGTCAAGTGCCCACATATTGCCAGCCGTTCCAGATTGTGGGTGGGGAGTTCAGGGGGGGGCCTTGTGTGCGTGATAGATTTAATATCCTGGCATCGTTCTACACAGATGCATTGATCTATGTAGGGGATCCGCTGCGGCTTCAACCCGTGATCCAACTAATCTATGGATGTCGAAAGATGAATTGCTGGTTGAAGGGACTTGCGCGCTGGCTGCAGCGACCAAAATCGTGATCTTGACCTTGAAAGAGCCACCACTAAAAAAAAAAGAAACAAGAAAGGAAAAAGCTTGGTGGGGTGTCCATGGTCGCGTTTCTTTTTTTCATCCCGGTGCCCCTGGCCCACGGTGCCCCTGGCCGGTGACGGGCCCGAGGTGTCGCGCGGCTTGGGCCAGGCGCTGGTGTTGACGGCCGCCCCGGGCCGCGCGGAGCTGGGCGCGCTGCTGGGTCTGGGGGCCAGCGCCCTGGCGGTGGCGGCGCCCGCGCTGCGGAAAGGCGCCCCGGGCCTCGCCATCTCCGCCACCCAGTGGGCGCCTGGGCATCCTTTGGCGTGTAGGGAGGGTCACAACATCAGAACAGAAAACTGATGCGCGAAAGCAAGGATATTTTGTGTTGCCTTTGTGTGCGTGAGAGTGTAAAAGTGTCCGTTTTGAGATGGCCGTGCATTTGGGTTCTCAACCTTCAGGTTTGCAACAGCTTTCTTTGCTGAAGGGCAAAGGGCTGGCCAAAGCGCAAGTTCAAACAGCACATTGTGCTCGTTTGAGACCTGTCTCACTGTTGCCTGCCAGGTGCTGTGGCGAGACTTCATGCTTGCTGGCGATTCCGCCTTTCCGGTGGGCATGACCCACCTTGCAATGGAAGGCGGGCTCTTGGTGCACAGCTGCATACAATCTGAATACTTGGCAGCTCTTTGGTGTGGCGTTATCTGTCCAGGATTTTGCAGGTGCATAGTGGCGGGTTGATGCGCTAACGATGCAAGTTGACGACTTCCAAGCCCTTGCGGAACTTTGCTTCTACCTGCTATTCCCAATAGAGGGCGAGTAGTTGCCAAGAATCCAACCGTCTGCAGGCAGCATCGGAGCAGCCGCGTATTCCTTGGAAGCCTATGGCCTTGCCAGCTGGTTTTGGCGCTGGTGCCTCTTCCGTGGGCTGTTGGCTGGTGGCATCCACAAAGCGCTCCTTTGCGATCAGAGCTGGACGGACCTTTCCGCGGTGCATTGGCACTTTCAAGGCACTCCGAGACTTGTCCTGGTTGGCCAATTGCGGTGCGGTTCTTAGTGTGCTCATTGACTCATTGAAGCATTTCCGCAGGGGTGTGTTTCCCACTGCAGGTGACAGTGCACTGTCAATGGTTTTGCTGGGCGGCAGCGAGTTGCAATGGCATGTTTGGGTCATCCTTGAGCCACCTGCAGTCATGTGCAGGGGATGTATCATGACCTATTCCTCCGGCCCTCCACTCCCCATGCTCCAGTAGGACAGCAATAGGAAAATGAAAGGTACCTTTGTTTTGAGCCCGCAATGCTGGAGATGCCAGGATTAATCAGGGGTTTTGTACTATGAGAGCCTGAAGGGAGCACCCTTATGAGCTTGTCCACTCTTAATTGTTGAAATAACACGTAATCATGATGTTTCTGTTTCCAGCCAATAGTTTTTGCCGGTTTGGGAAAAGCAACCCTTTGTGGCAATAGCTTTTTGCGTTCATTGGATTTTGGCGTGCTGGCAGGTGGATTGGGGGTGAGTTTGTGTTCTAAACCTTGTCGGCTTTTGTGGCTGGCAATCCGGGGGAGCGGGGGGGGAAGGACAGTCGTTCAACAAATTCGGGGGGGGCTTTTGAAGGGGGCATAGGCCTTGGAGCCCAGGAACCCCTCCAGCCTGGGCTGGCTTGCCTTCCAGCTCACCAGTAGCTTCCCCTGGCTTGGCCACCTGGCCACCGCCTCCACGCTGACCATCGAGCTGGCAGCTCCCTTCCTCTTTTTCTCCCCCCGCCTGAAGCATCTTGGCAACAGTTTGGCTTTAAGGAGCTGACCAATGCACGACGAAAGGAAACAACAAGCATCTGCCCCCTCCCAATAGCTTGCTCATGGCCGGCCATATTGCTGGGTTGGAAGTTGGACGTCTTCGCTTCACTTGGACACCCACACTTGCTGACTCGGCATGGCGGAGTAGTTTCGAGGGCGTTGGGACCAACGTGATATGCGGCTAATCCAGCTTGCGAATAAGGGCAGTGGCCCATCATGAGACAGCAGTGCAGGCACTTGTTTCAGAAATCAATCAGAGAGCTGCCAACTTCTGTCAACCCCGAAAAAATCAAGCTGGTGGGTGAATCGGGGGCGTCCAACAACAGTGAGACAGTCAAGGATTCCCTCTAAGCGGGACAGCCCCCATTAATCAACCAGGTTTAGTATTTCTGGGTTCCCGCTAGCTAGCAAGCAACCACAGCTTAAATTCTTAGATACCATTTCTATCGCCAACAATTGTGGAAGAGAGCAAATATGTGGCTTTGCCCTTGCTTCAACTGGACATTTAAGGAAGCCTTGCTCAGGTACTTGGGCTTTGCTGGAAACAGTGCCTTGCAACTGGGCATCCTTGCAACTGGCAGCTTGGCAGCATTTCCAAGAAGCACGCAGTTGGCAGAGTCAGTTAGTTGCAGTATTTGAGTCTTGTGATGAGCTGGGAGCTTTTCGGTGGCTTTGCGTGCGCTTCAAAAGCAGCTTGCTTCTTTCGTTGGGATTCTTCTTGCGGGTGGCAGCAGGGCAATCCCGCATTTTAGAGAGCTTCAGTGATGTGCTGGAAAGACAAAGGCCGACGTGTCCCACGGTATGTCTCCTTGCAGCTGTTCTCAGGCAACTACGGACCCCTGAATTTCTACTTCCTGGCCCTGGGCTTGTCGCTTCTGCACCAGACACGCTCAGAGCTCACTGCAAATGAGAGCCGAGCTGTGCGCCTGGGACTCTGAATTAATCATGTTCAAGGCTCGTCGCTTCGATCGCGATCGAGCCGTCGAGCAGTGGGGCGGCCTACAAACACTGTCTCGATTCCGGCTCTTTTAGCTACTTACTGCTGCGCAGGATCCCAAGAGAGGGTTAAAGAGGACATGAGAGGTCCCTGTTCAACAGCCTCCAATCAAAGGCAGGCGGTGCCAAGGCTTCCAGCTGCTGGCCTGGGCCTTGCAGTGGCCTGTTACGGCATGCTGCGGGCTCCTGGCGCCTGCCCCAGCGCCTACCACGCCATCTATGCCCAGCTGGCCACGGTGTTCTCCTCGCTGGCGGGCCTCCAGGGCTTGCTCTCAATGACCTCCGGCGTGGAGAAGGAGAGGGGGGGTGGTGCGGAACAGATGCATGTGCTTCGCGGGATGCGGGATGCGGTTTGGTTGCTAGTCAGCTCTCGGGATGAAGGCCTGCACAGCTGTTGGATGTTGCTGTTGCTTTGTATTCGGTGTCTTTTGCTGTCCATGGCTGCAGTGGTAATCTGGTTTGTTGGTTGCAGATGGACGCAAGCATGCTGCCTATTGGTCGTTCAGACGTGCGGGCTTCTTTGGTGATTTGAAGTCCTTGAATGTTGAGTCACAGCAGCAGGGGATGGGGACATTCATGTTTTGTTCTCAAATTGCCGGCTTATCCTCCATGAGGGCGCAAGGAGTCAGTCATTCGCAGTTTGAGCACCATCTTCCTGCAACACCATGAGCATGACCCCCCCCCAATCGGCTGTCCTTTGGTTCACAGGCGTGCTGGGCAGGCTGGATTTGCAGGCTGTATACAGCTGATGCTTGCCAACTAGGGCTTGTAAGGTTCAGGTTTAGGGTTTAGGTTTAGAGTTCTAAGGTAAGGGCGGTTAGGGGGGGTTATAGGCTTTGGTGTGGGTTTGTGTTTTCGTTTCTGGCTTTAAGTTTAGGCCTCCGGGGTCAAGGCTCTTGATGTTCGGATTGTGTGGCAGGGCAGCCTTGGGCATTGGTCGTGGCATGTGCGCCAGAGGCCTCGAGCACGAATATGTTCCCAAAAGAAGCCACCACGATCGGGCATTTGCACTCAGCATGCCAGACGATCATCAAGCCTGAAAGCGACAGCAAATGTATGTTCATGCAGTGGACTTTCTGAACATATTTGTAGGATTTTGTAGGCTTGTGGGTTTCATGTGTTTGCACCAAAGCAGACGAAATGTCCAGATCCGGGCGTCAGTCTGAATGCATCCGAACTCCGAATTCCCAGGCGCTGGGTTTGGGGCTCCTTGGCCTTACCTCCTCAGTCTTCACCGTGGACACTCTGGGCTACGCGGCGCCCCACTACGAGCTGCTGCAGCCGCTCTGTCGCATGTTGTTCGCCAGGCGTCAGTCGACAGTCAAACGCAATAAAACTGCAGGGGACCGATCGATCCCTTGCGCATTTGGCCCGCAATTCTTCGGCATGGTACAGATGGCCATAGGCAATCCAAGATTTGCCATGTTGATAGCTGTGCTGCACGTCGTCTTAAAGGCAAAAGATGTTGTTCGATGGATAGTTGGCCCTCTTCAGAGGTAATGACCACTCAGCTGCTCCCCTCTACCTCTAACGCTAGTCCACTCCAACTGCCTCACCAATTGGCCAGAGATGCGCTGATCATCCCGGTCCCGCAAGACCTAAAGATACTCATGCTTGGGGTATCTTGCTTCGGGTTTCGCCAAGGAATGGGTGGCGCTCGCCCACTTCTGTTGTGCTAAACACCCTTGAGTCCTAGTCAATAGCCACAATAGAGAGAGCGAGAGAGAGAGAGAGAGTCCAAGCGACATGTACACAGTATTGGCCTGAGGCAAAGTGTGCTAGCATCGTCTGCCTGGCTGCAAGAGAAATGGGAGGCCTTTGACATTGCTTTCAAGAAGCTCGCAGCCTGGCAGATTGTAGGGCTGAGATTTGGATAGGACAAACATGGAACATGGCTTTTTCGTTGAACGCTCTTACGAAGCGGTATGGCGGATCCTGTCTGAGGTGGTCCAGCCGGCTGCCTATCTTGCAGAAACTTGGCCAGTGGGGTGGACAGCGGGCTAGCTAACCTTTAGACAAAGGCCGGGCATCATGGATGAATGATGCCCCCATCGAGAGGGGCACCATCTTTATCGGGCAGAGACTCACTCATCCAACATGCTGATACGGGTTGTACTTGAACTGGGTTCAACATGGCTTGGCCAGCAGCAACTTGCTTGGCCTCCCATGCATGAGAAGATGCGTGTAGTGTAGAGCAATGGTCTGAGCGAAGTGCACGTGCACAAGATAATTGCCACTCATGTTTGCTTACATGCGAATGTGTTCGAAGCTCAAGTGAATCTATCAGCCTTGCATCACATATCCGGAGAATCTTTGCAAGAGGGTTGTATAGGCAAGTTGGCGTTCGGCTTCTGGACAGCACAAGGATACTTTGCCGCCGCGCGTCTTTGACCCCCCGCCCAACTTCTTCTCCAACACTACTGGGGTGCAAGGCCGATCTCTGCTTTTCGTGCTCGGGCACAGAGCTTCTGAGCGATTCATTCCAGAAGATCAGCCCGTTTTTGACCAGGGTCGGCCCACATGGCCGTTTTCATTTGGTTGCTTGCCTGCTTGCTTGCTTGCCTGCCTGCCTGCTTGCTTGCTTGTGTTCTTTTGCAAAGTCGTGTCGTACCTAAATGGCACCAGGGAGGTGTTGATTTTCAGGAGGTAGCCGACAGTTTCGACCCAATTCCGCGGGGTGGCATGCGGCAGGACGCCCTGCTTTGGCACTGGAAGGCGCTGAGCCACTTGGCGTCAAGAATTTCCGGAATCGAACTGGAGGAAATGCAAGGTGGTGTTGGCAATTGCATGTGCGTCCAGCTCAGTGCATTGATCCCACATGCTGAAACGCTGACTGCTGGAAAACATGTTGGTTATACACTGCTGGGTCACTTCTCAGGCCACAGGCCCGTGAACCTGGCCATGTTCAGCCTTAATTGTTCAATTTGGTATCGAAGTCTAGGCTCTTATGCATCAGAATGCATGTCTGCACTTGCTTGGAGGAACCCAGGAAAGGTAGCTTGCGTGGCAACCCAAATCTCAACTTCCTGCGTCGCATGTACACTTGCCTTGCCTTTTGGCTGCTCCGTTTGGCGTGACTGACCTTGGTACTGCGATGGGTTATTTGCAAGCAAATGGTTGGTGGGCAAGCCAAGATCTTGACAAGCGACTCCTGAGGAGTTACTTTGGCCCTTGGCGGCCTGTGCCTATGAAGTATAATGCAACTTGGCAGGAAGGCGGCCCAGGCAGACATGAATTGATCAATAATGTGAGTTGATCATGTTGCCTCTGGAGTTAGGGGCCTCCGTGGGCAAGGCCTCTCGCCTCGCCGGTTTCGCTTGATGCAACCAAGCCATATGAGTGCCCGACAATACTGTTGGATGAATGCGGTGGCATCAGGTCATCGCTCATGCAAGGAGAGCCTCGAAGTGTAAAAGCCTGAGCACTCGGAAAACCTGTTTGGATTCCTTTGTCAAGGGAGGTTTTGTTGGTCCAAACAAGCGCATGTTAACTCGTGTCGACGTTGCGCGGTGTGGCACTATTCTTATAAAGGGGCATCAGTCTTGGGTAGATTACCGCTCGGTTTTTAGAATATGTATGAGTCTGTAGGATTACGAAATTCTGCTGCTGCGTGCGCAGGTGCAATTCGAGTGCGCAGGCTCGCAGAAAGCGCCCGTCACGCACGGGTGTTTGTCGGAGGGGCGCCTCCTTCCAGCTGCCAGGTCTGCGACACGAGACCCGTAGCCAGACTTTACGCGACATGTGCGTCATGCTGCAGCCTCTCAGCACCTCCGGGGATGCAATACAAAAGCCAAGCGAGAGAGCCTCTTAGACAACACAATGTCGGGAAACCAACACCTGACCGACCAACACCCGCGAAGGCACCCGACACGATGACCCCGTCCGAAGCCCCCGACAGCATTTGCCAAGGGCGCGTATAGCCAGAAGACAAGCCGCGAAAAGGCTAGGATTTGGCGGTATTCTAGAGATGCCCACCCTCAGCAGCACGAGATGTTGCAGCAATGCTCAGCATGTTTTGCTTCCAGTGCTGGGAAGCTGAACTGAGCGATTGTCATTGGCGCCAGCGGCTAGCATTTGGTCTTGGGGTTGCCGCTGCAAACGAACCCCGGCGTGCAAGTTGCCAACGCGCGGTGGCGTGGCCACCCAACAGCGGCCATGACCCCCCCACAGCCTCTAGGCGAGCAAGGCGCAATGACAACAGCGCCTACGCTATTCCCCAATTCCGCCTACGCTATTCCCCAATTCCGCCCTGCGGGGCCTGCGGGCCACTGAAAGCCAGGCCTGGAACGGAGTGAAAACCACGACGCCTGATAGGGCCCTACTCAGTTCAGCTTCAAACTGTATGAGCAGTTCCACCGTGCGCCGCGGAACCTGGGTCATAGAATTTGATGAACAGTTTTTTTTGGGTGGGATGCTCTCGTCCGGCCAGACAAGGACCCCAGCAAGCCTGGGCTCTCCTCTGCACCCTGGCCCCACGCAGCCTTCCTAGCAGCTCGGCTGACGTTTCAGAGTCGTGCTTTGGGGAGTTGGGTTTTCATTCAGTCAGCCGCGCAGAACAGAAACAGCTGAATTTTGTTTGGTGTCCAAGCTTTGGGGAAGCATAAAAGTTGGCTCAGAGAGCAAGACCCTGCTCAACAGGCGCAACCATGTGCCCGTGATGTAGCAAGCGCAACTTTCACCGAGGGTTTCACTCGGTTGCCACAGCTGCATGCTTGGCCAAGTGTCCTTGCCTGGTGCGCGCCAAATCAGGACTTGCTCTGGTGGGATGCGCCTCACCTGGGCGGCAGCCCCATGTGGTTGCACCTTGGCATTCTCATTTCTCCTGGCCTTTTCCCTGCAGAGAGTGAGCGGGGAGTGCACGTTGCGAACAAATGCTTTGGCGCCACGCACCTTCAGTTTATGGCGGGGTGGTGCTTAGCAATTGCAAAGCAGACCCCTAGATACCCATTGAGGAGAGCAACAGCAAATTGGGGGTCAAGACTCAGCGTTGGTTTGTATAGAGTTGGCTTAATTAGTACTGGTTTGGTATTGTGAAGTGTTGCCGCGTATTGGTTTAGTATTCAGTGTTAGTCTAGAAGTGCATTTGCTGTTGGAGCCTTAGTCAGTTCTGCTGCCTTCGCACTGGTGTGGACTTGGCTTAGTGGTATTTAGGAGTGTTTGCCGAGTACTGCTTGCGCGGGACGGCATCGAGTGCATGCTTTCCCCTCCCAGTGATTTGGTTGCCCACCGGACGAGACCACGTTTTTGAATGAGCAAATTCTGAGCAAACGGATGCAGTTGGGCAACATGTTGCAGCAGGTGGTGCCGGACAAAGCAGGAAATCGCATGCAAAGCTAAGCGTGTCCGGGCAATGACCAACCACTCCCGGGCACAAACCTCAAATTTGATGGCCTGAAGTGTACTAGCTTTGCACTCTGCCAATTCGCTTCGCACGCAACACTTTCCCTAAAAGGCTGCGACTTGGAAGGTTGAAAGCACAGACAGCGCAAGATGCTTTAAATTTACAGAGTTCAAAAAACGATAGCCCCAAAAGGGGCCATCAAAGAGCACTGGCACGCTTGAGCAACCTCAGGTGTTCTGATGCCATATACCTCCGTGGGCCCCTTTTCTGAGCTAATGTATTTGGTGTGTGTGTGTGCCCTGCCGCTAGCTCCTTGTGCTTGTTGGGTGGGGCAATGCCAAGCAACAGCAAATATTGCTGGTATAATGGGCTGTGGGCAGCTGCTTTCCACATGTTGGCAGAAAAGCAGGGGCTTGTTCTCTATCCAACTGCAAGTGCTGCTTGGGTTTGTTGGACACCTTGCCAACTGATGCTTGGATCGCTGGCAGGGTGAGCAGGCTCACATCTGTTGGAGAGCTGAGCTGGAATCGCCCAGTTTCTTGCACTTTACGTGTCACCATCGCCTCTGAGTGAGGTCTCGCCTGCTGCGGGGTGTCATGGATGGCCTTCAGCCAGTGCTGGACCTCATAGACAGGCAGCGTGGTGCTTGTGCAGCTCAAGTGGCCTTTTCAAGCTTGCATTGTTGTGATTCACATTGGCCGCCGGGCCGGAACGACACTTTGAACTTCATTTGGCGTTGGTCCAGTGGTGGAATTTACGTTGGGGCAGCGACATGTTTCTGTGCGTGCCAATGTTTATCCTTTGACTTGCCTCAGAGTGTTTGCAGACACTGCCTGCCATCCCTCGTTTGCGGAACTTGCCAACAGGAACCACAAGCGGCTCGCGGATGTGGGGCTTGTTGTTTCAACAGCGAACGAGCCCTGAGGCCGGCCTTCGAGGCAAGCTGCTCGGCCCAAGCGTGTGGCAGGAGGAGTTGTTTGCCTCCCCGGGGAAGGACTTGCCAAAATGTTCGACGTGTTTGGCATGTTCTGCGCATGAATCAACTCCGTGCTGGGCAAGTCGTGGGGCTGGCCGGCCACTTTATCAGAGGCTATGTGTGAAGCGTCTGCAAATTTGTTGCTCCTACGTTCGGAACTGTGCCTTTGCCAACTTTGGGTCCCAGGTGCCCTATCGACATTCTTGCGTGAAGGGATAGGGACACGACACCAACAACCTCATGAGCATGGCGCGCGCGCAGTCGGCGCCCTCCCGCCCTTTTTTCGGCTGGAGCTTCGCGGGTGGCGGGCCGCCGGGCCGCCATGGAGCCCGGAGACTTTCACAGCCGAGTTGCCAAGATCCTGAAGGACCCGTTTGCTCGCTTTCGCCACATGGTGAGAGTGCAAGGCTTGCTCAAGGGGCCACCTGAGATGATGGGCGAAGCCTTCATTCATGTTTCCCATGTCCAGGGTGCTACGTCACCTGTCTTCGCCAACCAAGGTCAGGCCAAAGCACAGGGGAGGGGCACGAAAGCCCAGCTTCCGCGATCATGCAGATAGAAAGCGTCGTTTGTTCAGCAGCGTGTTAGGTAAAGGGCCTGCCTTTCTGACAGAAACTTACCCAGCAGATCTTAGACCTTGGACTTGACCTTCGAACGTGCGACGGACCCATGAAGCAGGTGTTCGAGTTAAATGGACAAAGTAGATTATACTACAGTAGGTGAACAAAGATCAATTCCCAGACCAAAGGAATCCTGCGCGCACCTGTGCCCCACATCTTAATTGTGAAATGTCCGCGCTGGCTTCGCACATTTGGGGGTTGACTTTGGAGGGCCATTTTGTCCGTTTTTTTGTGTAAGGTGTTTTTTGTTTTTCAGGGTGGGCGTTTTTGGCTCTTGTGGCTTTTACGTGGGTTTTTGTGGCTTTCACGTGGGTTTACGTGGGTTTTTGTGGCTTTTCATTTTGCATCCTCTGCATTCACAGTTCCTCTCTGTTTGTCTTTGTGGGTTCAGGCCTTGGCTTCCTGCATCCTCAGCAACGCCAGTTTCTCTCTGGTGCCCCCCGCCACCCCCCTTTCGAGTAAAATGCACGCCTAATTGAATCATCACTTTTTCGATCATCATGCGACAGCTACTTTTTAGATTCTTTGCCCCTAATTGGGGGGCTGCCCCCCCCCCCCCCAAACCCCTCACTTTTTCAATCATCATGGGGGGCCCCCCAACCGCCCCGCTACTTTTTACTTCAATCATCCTGGGGGGGGCGCTGCTCAGCCCCCCCCCCGTGCCTGGAGAGTTGGGGTGCCTGCTTTGCCCCTAATTGAATCATCACTTTTTTGATCACCATGGGGGGCTGCCCCCCCCCCCCCAACTCCCCCGCTACGCCCGCCCCTCTTTTTACCATGCATACATAAATGCCTACCTACCTTGCCGGAAAGGAACTGATGATGCTGAAGATGTAGGAAGCCAGCCCTCGATTTGCTGGTGATGCTGGGGATGTTGGCTGGACATGCGGGGGATGTTGAAAACGATGCTGATGATGTTGACGGCTTATCCACCTGTCTGTGTGTCAAACTCCACTTGTCTGCGAGCCGATCTCGAGAACTCAAACATCGGTTCCGTGAACAAAAGCCAAGCCTTCCAAAAAGAAACCCGACGGGGGATAAAACGAAGTCGGCTATTCACAGCCCAAAGCAATCAGGGCACACTCAAAACACGAAGGCACCAACATGAAACGTAAACCCAACTGCGCGCCGGGCGGGGCATTAAGCAAAACCAGACTGGCAAGCTGCTCTGGCGGGATATTGGCGGGTTCCACTGGCGAATACTGGTGAGCCGCTCCGGCTCGATACTGGCTGGATACTCGGCTGGATCCACCGGCAAGGGTACTCAGCGGGATATACTCGGCGGGACCCACTGGCGAGATACTCTAGGACACTCAGCGGGATCCACTGGCGGGCTGCTCTGGTGGGATACTCGATGGGATCCACTGGCGAGCCTGGCGGGATACTGGGCGGGATCCACTGGCGAGCAGCTCTGGCGGGATACTGGGCTCTGGCGGGATACTGGGCGGGATCCACTGGCCAGCAGCTCTGGCGGGATACTTGGCGGGATCACACTGGCGAGGATACTCGGCGGAATCCACTGGCGAGCTGCTCTGGCGGGATACTGGATCGCAAACGCGCATTCCTCTTCCTGTCGGGTGGGGAATTATATCTCGACCCGTTGGCTTTTTGTCCAAAGACTTATGTCTGCCCGAACCCCACTTTTGTCATTCATGCCCGGCTTCAAAACCTTTGAAAGTAACGACGAACACTGGCAGCATATCCACAGCGCGACCTGCCGAGCACGTCGCTTCAGGATGCAGAGAGGAAGTTGGTTGAGGCCCATGAGCTGGAGGCACATCCTGCCAATCCACAAGTGCTGTGCTGCTATGGATCTTTAGGTCTT